ATGTCAGAAAGTGCCATTAACTCTAGCGGCACTAAATGAGTGTGCCATGTGCATGTCTTCAATTCACAACACCTGTTGATAAAAGATGTATTTAACGCATGCGTGCATCCTGCACATGAGTATGGTACCAGCGCACTTACATGTATGCCGTAGTCTGGTCAATGGTTTGTTTATTTAACTTTATGTACAGTATGGATTCTGTGTCTAACAGTGCAGGTTGCTGTAATATTTGCTACGTGATTAGATCGCAAGGTCTTCCGCAACAAAGTCGCAAAGTCGTGTACAATTTTCCAGTTAATAATATGATCGAAACAATGGCCAAACAGTTTCTTATATTTTACAAGAAATTTCTTTCTTGGTAACTCTACTGGTAGTTGGAAGCTCTTTTGAGCAAGATTTTCATGGTTTGCTAAAGCGTTTTTTCCTCCCTTTTCTACCATTCTGCACTGCTTATGCCTACATTTGAGGTGATTGTCGTTGACAAGTAATTGATTAATTCTTGGTTTTGAATGGAGTGTGAATTTGGTCATTTGTATGAAATTTATTGTAACTGATCATCTTGCAGGTATACTGAGTTGTGGAAGTCAACCCTGTCAAAACGGAGGGACGTGTTTTGAAAATTTCATATCTTTCGGTTACTTTTGCCTGTGCCCGGTCAGATGGAGCGGGCTGGACTGTGAAACAGGTGAGCCAAACCTGGAATCAGTCATTATTTCTTGAATTGTAATCTCGGAGTCCAGTGCCATAGTCCTCCAATAACCACTTCACAACGGATGACATCTAAACATGCAGTGATTCCCTGCATCAGAAATGCAGATATTGTCCCTTATCGCGGTGAAAGCCTGCCCCTCCCACGCACAGAGGCTCAAAAGTGTCCAAGAAGATTGACCTTGTATGTCGCCGTAACGCGTCTGTGCCACCGGGCATTGTAGCAAATATTGCTCCACATCATAGTCTCAGAGTTTTGAAAAAAAAAAAAGGTAAAAAATGTCACACAAATCTTGAACAAAAGATCACCAAGAGTTAACATCTAAAGTCCAACTTTCTAAAGATAAATATGCTGCAGAGACAGACAAACTAGAATAGTGTGGCCGTGAATTTCACTGAAAATATAAGAAGTTCTAGTGCTGTTAATAGGAAATCTAATTCGACATTGCAGCCTATTCACAATGGCGGGTCAAAACATGAATGTAAATGCCGGCTCTTATGCAGCATAAATGGTACACGCAGGAAAGTTGACACACAACGCATTTGCTGTGAAAGTTTCTCTTGTTGAAATATATTCATCTTTTGCAAATTTGGAGCACACATGTTTGATCGGAAGCTACAGATTTTCATCGGCTTCCATTCAAGGTAATAACCTACCAACTCCATGATTTGCCTAAGACAAATGAATAAAGTTTGTTCTTTTTGTTTCATTTTCACTTTGAACAGCAACACTTCCCTGCACCAGTCAACCTTGCCAGAATGGGGGGACATGCTTCAATTCCAACGACAACTCCAACTACACTTGCCAGTGTCCGGATGGCTGGATCGGGGCAAACTGCGACATCTTTGATGTTTGCACGACGGACGTATGCCAGAATGGTGCTACTTGCGTGAATCAAGGGTCGTCCTTTGAATGCCAGTGTGTGCTGGGATGGGTCGGGCAGTTCTGCGAAACGCGTAAGTTCAAGAGACAAACGCACTCTCAATGATCGACTAATTCGATTAGACACCGTAACAACAGTGGCACCGCACTCACACGCACATTCTTTGCATATGCACGCATTTGGCAAATCACCACACCCTATTGGTCGAAGAAGTACGTAACATGTATGTGCCCCCTGTCCATGAGCATTGTGCCACCGTAGTAATGGTTTCTGGCTGTCGAATTGCATTATAGAAGAGTAGGCTTTTCTAGCACCCTAGACAAGTTACATATGTTACATGCTGGGGAACCTCTTGAAGATAAAGGAAATTGTTTTTGATACCCCAATAAAAATTTTATGTCTCCAACGAAATAAAGACTGCAGAGAAACTTTAATATTTGGAACTTTTAAAAATTCTTCTGAAGTCAATTAAAAATGAGCTTATCGAACAAAATTGAAATCTATTGGTCTCATGTGACTGGTGCTCTGTTGTCTGCCAAATTTTAAGCATGTGGACATTATCTCAAACATAGCACAAATAATTGTGGGAATTTGCCACCACCAAGTGTCTCCAAAGTCTTCCATTGAGAGTCCTTGCTTGAGTTATATTTTGATCGCGAACCAATTTGAAGAACAGAGTGTGCATTTTTATATTTAAAAACAGAAAGCATAACACCGGTTTTTTTTTCATGTGAATGGTTGTTGTGCTTCAGGTATGTTGTTGTGGTCATGTTGTAAATGTTACTTGCGTTGTTTTGGTGCTGTTGCCCCCAAAAGGGTTGCAAACTTGCGACAGTCAGCCCTGTCAGAACGAAGCCCTCTGCAGAGATTCATTTGAAGAGTACGACTACATCTGTCTGTGCCGGCCGGGCTGGGAGGGCAAAGACTGTGACATAGCTAGTGACACATGTGCATCCAATCCCTGTATGAATGGTGCTACTTGCGTCAATAACCAAACGTCCTACACTTGTCAGTGTGTGGAAGGCTGGACAGGCCAGAATTGCCACATTCGTGAGTATTTTTTCCTGCGGCTGTAGCACTCAAATGTCAGAGGTTAAACTTCTCCTGTTGTCAATTTTTACCTCAACCCTAAAAGAGCCGCGTTTTGTCTGTCTAATACTGTACATTTCTCACTCTCACGTAAATGCATGTACATGATATGAAGTCAAACATGCATGAACATGGAAACCTTGGAACAGTAAAGCCATGCCAGATTTGAAAGGTTAAAATTAATTTCTTTTCACCAATCTGCAGATTAAACTTTACTGGAAGAATATAAAGATAAAAATTCCTGGTAGACCTTCATTAAACATGACAGGGCAAGCCCACGTCAAATTTCAATAGGTGGGCTGCGTGAGAATTCTGGAAGCTCGACATGTGATACTGGTTGGTATTTGGGTTGATGGTGGTCAGTATCAGGAAAACTGTGTCAGTGGTGCTGAAGTTTTTTCTCAGAACCACACGAGTCACAAAAGAGATGCACCTATACTACCACTCAAAATAGTGCAACTCCCTCCCTCCTAGTGCTTTGAAAATTGGACAGAGGTTTTTGGGGTAATGTTGTCCTTTTTTTCTCTTTTACAATTTGTGCTCAGGGAACTTGACCTGTGAGAGTCAACCGTGCCAGAATGGTGGGCAATGTTTTGAGTTTTCCAACGGTGTAGGTTTCATCTGCGTGTGCCTGGCTGGTTGGACGGGAACAACGTGCGACGTTGCTTTGGATTTCTGCACGTCAGAACCTTGCTTGAATGGCGCGACGTGCTTTAATGGGCAGGTGTCGTACGCTTGTCAGTGTGCGGCAGGTTGGACCGGACAGAACTGTGAAGTTCCCGTCAATCTGTGTGTCCCTGATCCTTGTCAGAACGGAGCAACATGCTTTAATGGGGAAACATCCTTTTTTTGTCAGTGTGTAGCAGGTTGGACTGGACAGAACTGTGAAGTACCTATCAATCTTTGTGTTCCTGATCCTTGTCAGAATGGAGCGACATGCGTCAACCAGCAGACATCCTACACTTGTCAGTGTGTGGCAGGTTGGACTGGACAGAACTGTGAAGTACCTATCAATCTTTGTGTTCCTGATCCTTGTCAGAATGGAGCGACATGCACCAACCAGCAGACGTCCTATACTTGTCAGTGTGTAGCAGGTTGGACTGGACAGAACTGTGAAATCCGTAAGTGAATTTGTCAATCAGACTATTCATTTGTACATGTAAAAGGTTCTCTATTGAGAGCACAGACGTGTACATACATTTATGTTGATGGACACAGTGTATATGATTTTTTTTGTTTTTTTAATCATTGACTTAATAGCATGCGAATATTTATCAACAATTTCACTAAAACTTTGAAAATGCTGCCCCTGACACATCATTGAAGATGATGTTTCACGATTAAGTCTGTTTGATATTCAGTTCTTTTCATATCATGAAAAATTATCGCGATATCCAATATTACCATGATGTCGTCATTTTCCATTCATAAAATAAACACGACCGCAATCACCGTGTCTCGAGTGCCACGGTAAAAAAGAAAAAAACAAAAAACATATACAGACCTGTGCATTATTTCTACATTTAGAATTCTTATATGCTGGTGGAAAGCAAATTTCAACATGGAAATTGTGGACATTAAATTATCATATATCATATCATGGTACTGTACGGAAAAAGCCATTTCCCTGCACACATTAGCGGTAAAGTTTGCTCAATTAGGCAACCCCCAAAATGGACAGAGCACATGCGTGTTTCTAGATGGGCTACTGGTATTGACGCCTTCACGTCATTTCTAAGTCGTCATTTATTTCTCATAAGTGGACATGTTTCACTCGGTCCCTTTTCTACAAGACCACAAAAAATCCTTCTTGTAAGTCGGTAATAAAAATATTGTGCTTGGGTATCAGTTTCCGTCGCCGCGGTTGCCTAGAAGTGTCAAGCGACAAGCCCCACACTGCTTGACTAATGCATCCACGTAGTTTGAGTACATCTTTTACATCAAGTAAGATGCAAAAGAGCCAAACATTACAGTTCTTCCATTTAATTGAAATGACAATCAGGAATTTGTTTTGGAGACGGTTCCCTAGACGGAGACGAAGTTGAGTTTTGGAAAACGGCTGTGTACGTGTGTGGCACGCGAGCACGGTATGACAATGTCGAGTCCCAAGTAAGAGAGCCGACTTACGTGTAGCTGGAGTTTACTGTACAAAACATTACACATGCGTACAGTCTGTTGGTTTAGTTCTGCCCCCTAATACTTGTAAGACCCTTGCAGCTGCTTGGGCCAACAGTGACTTTGTGGTTGGAGGTTTTCAATGGAGTATTTGTGTGGCCCAAATGCAGTAATGCAGGCCTCAACTCGCGGCGCATTGACTTCCCTATGTGCATGTACAGTACATCGTTTGGAGCTTATCGCAATAATAATATTATTGACTAGCCTAGAGATGGTTGGAGCAAGAATACAATTAGCTGTGCCGTCATGCATTGTCCATTGTGGAAACTGGAAAGTCTCCATTACTTATGATATTTGCATTCCTAATATCACGCAACACACCACTCTCTGTTGGTGCTTACTCGTTGTGTTTGGATGGGTTACTCTTGATGCTCACAGGTGCAGACAAACGTTGTGTGGGCATAACACTTGGATCTCTTCGTGGAAATGATTAATGGTTACCTATCTGCCATCTTGAAATAATTATTGGATACAAGGTTACATACATGTACGTAGTCTTTGTCTGAGTCGGAGTATACTCTTGGTTACCCATGTTCTGGCACATTCTGATCATGTGCTCAGGAGTGCACTTGCGTTAGCACGAGTATTGAACACAGAGTTACCACTCTTATGTGTAAATTGACCCTCAGGGATCACTGTTTTCTCTTGAGTGAACTGGCCATGTATGGACACAACTGCATTTTTGTTTCAGGTATCTTGACTTGCGTCAGTCAGCCATGTCAGAATGGAGCCACATGCATGGAAGGGTCGGGTGCCGTGGTGGGATACATTTGCCTCTGCATGGCTGGTTGGACTGGCCCGGACTGTGGAACAGCCATTGACGTCTGCGCATCTGTTCCTTGTCAGAACGGAGCCACTTGCATGAATCAGCAAACATCCTATACATGTCAATGTACAGCTGCATGGACTGGTCTGAGCTGCGAAACTCCCGTTGACGCTTGCGTGTCCAACCCATGCCTGAATGGAGCAACGTGCAACAATGGACAGACCTTTTACACATGCCAGTGTGCTGACGGTTGGACAGGACCGAACTGTGAAATTGTCATCAATGCCTGCGATTCAAACCCGTGCCTGAATGGAGCAGTGTGCATCAACGAGCAGACATCCTACAGATGTGCGTGCCTGACGGGTTGGACTGGTCTAAGATGCGAAACTGCCGTCGACGTTTGCGTGTCGAACCCATGCCTGAACGGAGCCACGTGCACTAACCGACAGACGTCTTACACCTGCCAATGTTTGCCTGAGTGGACGGGAGCAAACTGTGAAACTGCTGTCAATGCCTGCATGTCTAATCCTTGCCTAAATGGAGGCACCTGCTCGGGGAACCAGACTTCCTATTCCTGTATGTGCAGGGAAGGCTACAGCGGGGATACCTGCCAAACTCGTAAGTCACAATTTCTTCCTCGTACATCACTTTGTGTGATCTGTGTGTAGTTTTTTGTGTACATAGGCAAAGCTTGATAGGTTTAAACTTCAAGCATGCCTCAACTCACCCTGTCTTTAGTACAGTGTAGTATGTTTAAACACACAAAGTCTGATACTGTGTGTTGAAATCAAACTGAGCTACTCATGTGGTTGCACATGTGGTACAAGACCACAAGTGGTTCTTGTCAACAGTTTGTTCCATTGATGGATGGTACATGTCCATGTAAGAATGATTCCTACTGTGGTGTGCCTCCGAGTGATGAGTTTCCCACACCGCAGTCCATTTTTTTCATCTACCTTACATGTACGTGTATATGTATATACAACACTGCTCATTAATCATCTGTTCTTCATGTACATCACCAGTCAAAGAGATGTACAAGTATCATGCATTTGAAAGCCTGTTACAATGTATACTTATCATTTGCATAACAACACCTCCAGCTTGCACATCTTAAATGTAAAACCTTCCAGTCCTGAGGCAAAGTGAACACTGTTTGAACACTGCATGTTCACCTTTTGCATGGACGCACTGCAAGAAACAGCTTCTCTATGGTGACCTTGGATTGTTGGACATTGTTTTGAAGGATATCTGTCAGGCCCAGAAAGCAAGCTGTAGGTTATAAGGAAGGAATATTTTTATGATGTGCTCTGCAAGTCACACTGAAATGCTCAGAGAATGGAGGAATAATGTCATTACAAGGATATTTTCAATGAGAGATTTTTTGCACATTTGCACCTGTCAAATTCTTGGACTGACTTGGTTTTATTCCCACCCATGTTGGACAGAAACTCTGGCCTGTGCCAGCAACCCTTGCAAGAACGGCGGCATGTGCAGCGAAGACCCCAACATGTTTGCCTACATTTGCAGCTGCGTCAACGGCTGGACTGGGGCGACTTGCGAGATTTTCCCCAATGCCTGCGCGTCGTCACCCTGCCTCAACGGAGGGATGTGCACGGCCAGTGCCGCCGCCTACCAGTGTAACTGCCTGACTGGTTGGACTGGCAACCGATGTGAGACAGGTGAGCCAATCACAGTCTTTCATGGTCTGGTACTCATGCCAAAAGGTACTGACTACAGTACTTGAGGATACATCTTTATGTCTTCTAGCCGACTTGGTCTTGTAACCAAAATAGCAGGAAATTCTTTCATTTCTGAAATTGGCCAAAATTTTCCAAATCCGTTTCATTGATTTTTGGCTAGCATCAGTATTTGCAATCATTGGGCATGAGGAGTCGTGTGAAGAATTTCCGTCTTTCTTGGTTTTTATTTTGCATAATGATCACTTTTGCAAAGCTCTGGTCAGGCAGAATATTAAAATAAAAATCATGGATGTGCCATGCTCCATCTAAAAATAGAAGGGCATCCTAAACATTACATTGTGCTTTATTTCCATCATTGATGGCTCCCTGCTGTCATATTCTATTGATGTGGCAGGGAACCAGCTTTAGAACAAATGAATCATTGTTTACAAAAGAAGTTCTTGTCCCAGTTTTTAAATTACGTGCAAATCTTCCACCCCGGACCCTGACTTTGACCCCTAAAGGTACCTGTAGCCCCACCCTCATCATGCATACGGTGTACATGTATTTATACATTCTGGGGCTTTGCCATCTTGCATTTGAGCAATTGACCACTGTGCCAACAACCTGTGCATGAACGGGGCAAGTTGCGTTCCCCTCTTTGACCTCTGTGCCGACAACCGGTGCATGAACGGGGCAAGTTGCGTTCCCCTCTTTGACCACTGTGCCGACAACCTGTGCATGAACGGGGCAAGTTGCATTCCCCTCTTTGACCACTGTGCCGACAACCTGTGCATGAACGGGGCAAGTTGCATTCCCCTCTTTGACCACTGTGCCGACAACCTGTGCATGAACGGGGCAAGTTGCATTCCCCTCTTTGACCACTGTGCCGACAACCTGTGCATGAACAGGGCCCATGGCAGAGAGTGCCCAGTCAGCTTCAGTGGCACTTTCTGTGAAACAGGTGCAGCAAAATAGATTGTCATTCTTACTTGTGCCACCTTGGGGAGTCAGGTACTTCTCCTGTAGTTCTTAGAGCACCGCAGGAATGGTACTAGTATTTGTCTGGCCCCTGCAACCTACTGTACATGTAGGTGTGAATTCCCGCTCTGGCCGACATTTACATGTAGTTTAGGTTTTCAGTTCCTTCTTGTTTACATGGGGTTTAAACCAAAGATCGAATAGCGCCGAAGGCGCAAGATGGATAACTCTGCCCAAAAGGTGCAATTACCCTGGGAGCCATTTGAGCAAGCAATACGCCTGGCCTGCGCAGCTTACGGTAATGCTTAGGTGCAGGTGCACCAGGTGCACATGCCTGCCGTGGCGCCTGCGCCTGTGCGTTAATGTGCATTGCGCAGGCATATTGCTTGCTCCAATGGCGCCCATGCGATAACAACGTTTTAGTCAATGTTGTATTCACGGTGAAGTTCCACATCTTGCACTGCTATGCGGCGCTATACGATCTTTGGTTTAAACACACTAAAGCCCCAGTTCTTTTGTACGCACATTCACAAAGTCTGAGAGGTCTGTGGTAATGGACTATGTGTTCTTGAGCTTGAGCCCAACGGTGCACAGCCTATCATTGTAGGTACATGTAACATGTAGCTACATGTATGTGGGCATACCCCCTTGTTGAAAACTTTGAGATTGCAGGGTAGTGTTGTTCACATGCATGTAACAATTCGGTATTTGTGATGTTTGGCTGGTGAAAGTAAGCTGCTGTTATCTTTCCTTTTTTTGAAAGCCAAAATTTTGAGCCAAAAGAAAATGGTCCACAAGTGGTTGATACCTGTTGCTCAATTCCTCATTGGGTATCAGTATGGAGTCCTCTATCACCTTATATCCCCATATATCACCTTATATCCCCATATGGTGGTGTTAGTGTAAGAATTGAAGAAACTAGCAACGGACACCAAGCCTTCTGTCATTGCTGGTTCCAACATTTGAGGCAGGAAAAAGTTACAATGTAGGTTCCAACAACCAACAGGGGACCCTGTGCTTGCTGTAATTTTGTGATGATCAAATGAGCCACTGAATTGAGCCTGTTTCTTTTGCAGATTAGGACAGCAACAAGGGAAAATATCCCTATAATTTGCTACAAGAAAAAGAGAAAAATTCCTCATCAGCTCCAATGCCCCTTTTTATTTCACTTTAAGTTTTAAAAAATTTTAAATGTGCGTTTCTTGTTCATTTCCTTTGTGTCAGATTTTTAAGGCCATGTTGGTTAAACAGGTCAATTTTAAAATCAGATAAAAGTTGCACATTTGATAAGTGAAAAAATAACCAGTAAACCTCGAGTGGTTGAATTTTTCAATTTTCAAAATACATGTACACTTTTGATTCCATGCTTGCACCTGCAGTTTTTTTCATTTTGTTTCAGCTTCAAGTGCTTGCTTGTCTGATCCTTGTAAGAATGGAGGCACTTGCCAGGACACCAGTCAAGGTGCCTATGAGTGTACATGCACAGTGCAGTGGACCGGCACCACCTGTGAAACTGGTGAGAAGCATGTTAAAGCTTTGCTGATGATACTCTCTTTTTGGTTTTAGGGATTGTCATACTTATATATTTGTGACCTGCCACGACAAACTGAGCGTAAAGTCGTATTCTGCTCTTTCCAGTTTTGAGGGTTCAAAGTCAAATATTGAAGTGGAGGTCAATTTTGGCATTTTGTAATATTTTGAAAGAGAAACCCCTCTAATTAATTCGAATTTTGTTAGCAGGATCAGATATTTAAAAATGTAATTTTCTTAGTAATTTTGATGAAAGCGTTATTCGTGCCCAGTCAGAAATGTAGAAACAATGTCAGAAATAAAGGTGCAAAGCTGCCAGAATAATGCCACACTCTCACCTCACACTTTTACCCTATTAACCCTAACCCTCCTGAATCCTTCACCTGTTGGAGGATTGAGGAGGGTTAGGGTTAAGTGTGTCATGTACATACCATTGAAAAGCTCTCTTTCTGCTGCTTTAAAAATACCAATATCTCAATTGGTGAAAATTTTGAATTTCAGCTCATTTTGTGGGGACAGGTTACATTTCACAGTTTTAGTGGACACAGAATTCGGGTAGCATGTCCATTTTGATATACACACAGGTCTTACTAGAAGTAAACATTGCTTTCATAAATCAATCAGACTCTTTGATGCAAACAATCATGTTTATAGATATATTTGCAAATTACCGGTACTCTGACAGGTCCTCGGTAAACCTGGTTCTTTTGTTGTACTTGGTGTTATCTTTGCAAAAATCTAAATCAGGAATTACCTTGAAACTTTGTTTTGTTTGTCTTGAGCAGCAGTGTTTAGCTAGGCAATATATTCAGAGGCATTAATTTTTATATGTTTTAAATGTTTGATACTTAAGTGTTTCAACAATGGAAGCAGTGTCTGGAAAAATGGAAATCAAGAGTAAAATGTACTCACCTTGAATTTCACTTTTCTCTGAAATGGACAAGATGTATTTTTATTTGTATTCTTTTCCTGTTGTTTCACAGCCAAGGATGCATGTATTGGAGACCCCTGCAAGAACAATGCAACTTGCTTGAACCAGTTTGACTTTTTCCTGTGCCAGTGCCCACCTGGCTACACCGGTAACGACTGCGGGCTGGGTAAATATCACCAATTGCAGAAAACATCATCATAATCATTCGTTTGTTGTAAAAACAGTTTCTCCTTTTCCGAATGTTTCGCAACTGATAAGCTCAAAGGTCAGAAGTTTGCTGGGGGGGAGAGAGTTAAAGGCATATCAGTGAAGCCAGCAGGCTTAGGATTAGACAGTATATTTCTTCCCGTTGTTGGAAGGACAAACTATATCCCAGTACTGTTTAGGAACTAGTATGATGACGTCATTTCATATTGAATTATTAAATGTAAGCTTTTTTGTTTGTCAGCCTCTCCTTATTTTTACTTTGATTCTCCATTGTGTCTTCGATCATTTGTGTGAAATTGACTCATACATGTAAAAATATTTGCGAATTTACCTGGTTTCTCCCAATTTTTCCTAAGCAAGTAAATTTACTATGCAATAAGATTTATTTGTGTAAGTCTATTATGTTTTAGCTAGTAAAATGCTTTTAAAACATGTAACACAAAAGCTGCTTTAAACTGCTAGCTGGCTACATGTACAATGACCTCAAATACAAATAGAAATTACCAGTTACATGCAGAAGGGCCTGATGATGTTTCAATCCTAGCAGAATCTTCCTTTGAGAGAGATTCTGCTGGGAGTCAAACATCAATCATCCGGCCCTCTTAATTTGTGCTTTAGAAGCAAACCAATCATTTTGCAGGGGTAACCATTCCAGAGTCTTGCTCAGTCGTATGCCAATGTCCATGTTTAATCTGGATTGATTTTACCCACAGACATCAATGAATGCGGGAGCACTCCTTGCCTGAATGGAGGAACTTGCATCAACCTGCCGAATGGATACAGTTGTATATGTGTACCAGGCTGGACAGGCCCCATGTGTACCCAGGGTAAATATTTTACCTCACTGGAAACAGATTATATGAGGCTCAGTGCTGGGATGATTAATAACCCCAAAATATGAATAGTTGGTTTGTTTATGAGAAGTGATTGATATTGTGCTCCTGTTTGTAAAGACTACTTAAAAATTAGTTTTCTTTATTGTTTCAAACAAGGAATCGATTAAGACTCAAAACCCATAGTCTGACATGTGGCTTTGCTTCATGTAATGCCCTGATTTAAATAACATTGACGGTACCTTTATTAGGACAAGTAGTGTTTCACAACTTTCAATTTAATTAGTAAAATTTCTATAAGTAGCGTTTTGTTGAGAAAAACAAATTTTACCGCTGTCCAAAATTTCGTTTTGAAAAAATTGCCAGATAATAGTCATTGAAAATATGCTCTCATGCTGAATCTTGTATCAAAATGTATCAAGAAAGTCTAACTACCCATCAGGGGATGTTAGCATGTCTTTTTAGGAGGACTTTTAAATCTTTCGGGGAACATGACATTTTTTGTTTTGCTTTATCTCCGCAGATGTGGATGAATGTCAGAGTAATCCTTGTGCTAACGGGGCGACTTGTAACAACCTCATGAATAGCTACCAGTGTGTATGCCAGGAAGGCTTCACAGGACCACAGTGTCGGACAGGTATCATAAGCCTCCCCCTCAACCCTCTGCCCCCACCCACTCCCACCCTAACTCAGCCATGACGGGCATTTTCACAAGACAAATGAATGGAATTGTCTTGGAAAACAACACTATTGGTGAAAAGTGAAAGTACCAGTATTGAAAAATGCCTCACACTGATGCAGATTTGAGCCAGAAGAACCTGACAAGCTCACTGATTGCATGGTTTTTCATCAGCAGTTGTAACTAGCCTCCTGAGGTGGTCCATGGAGCATTCCATTTCCATTTACCCAGGACAAGGGTAGTTTAATCTCTTACTAGGATTTATTCCGTAGGTTTATAGTGCATTCTGCTTGATTTTAAAGATCACTCATTAATGTGATCCAAACACAATTAAAATGTGGTTCTGTTTGAATACAAAATTTGTTAAAAGTTCAGTATCATTTTTCTAAACTTCCCTCTTCATGAAATGTTTGAACCCAGTGTTCTGCAGATAGCACTTAGGAGTGTAGGCAGTGTGTGTACCTTTAATGCATTGGCATACAGTGCTGGGTGTTATACGTATAGTTTAATGATTACTGTTGGAGAGTACCATTCGTCATGCACAGCAAGATAGCAAAAATAGCTACCTCCGTGTGACGATTTCTTGGCCAAGCAAGATACCGAATCTGTGGGTCAGGTGTCATACTGCTCCACATTGTATGCAACATAACATTACGAGTCTATTTGTACATGTATCTAAAACAAAGTCCTTCTTTTTCATGGCTTGTTTTCCTTCAATCCTCCCTTGTCCTGTTCCTTTCATTTGCGTCCCTTGTTTATACCTTTCCCTGAATCATTTTAAGATGATGTCGAATTAACAATTTTTTTGCAGTTTTGTAATGGTTGTACTCTGTTACCTCTTTAACCCTGTACTTTTCCTGAGGTCTCTGTGCCCATCCCCAAAATTTAAATTTTTGGAAATGTTATATTGCATATTTTGAATTTTTGTCATATTTAAAACAAAATTACTTTACCTGTAGCTTCTTTTCTTTGTTCAGTATTTTGTACTTTGTATTTTAATTCTGCTGCTGGCGGTAACTATACAATTGAAACCATTAATAGTAATAATAATAGTAATTCTTTATTTGAGGATGGCAGGGTTTGTCAGTGACTTGAACAATTGTATCCTCTCTCAATTGTTAGTTTCTTAGTCTCTAAGTGATTGAGTTTGTTTTGAATTTGGCAGAAATTGATTACTGCGTCACCAGCTCCTGTCAGAACGGTGCAACGTGTATCAACCTGCCCACTCAGTATGTGTGTCAGTGTGTCCCTGGCTTTAATGGCACCAACTGTGATAACGGTGAGTGTCCGTTTCTCCTCAGGATGGCTTTGTCTGACTCTGATCACGAATTTCAATTTTTTGTCATCCAAAGACGTCTGTTTCAGTCCATGTTGCTCTATCCGTTATTTGAGCTCAACCATGGATGGCTCTCCAAAGCATTTCCATTACTGGGCAGTTTGAGCAATGTCTATTCATGGACCACAGGTTGATTTTCCTAGATAAACCATGAACAACAATCCCAGTACCAGGCAAAATGATCCACCGGTTGACAAGTGGTCGTCGCTGGAGCATGCCCATCATTGTCTCAACTCCTGCCTTAGAGCAGTGGAGGCGACGTGCAGTATGGTTGCACTAGAGAGCTCTGTTCTGGCTGCCAGGAACTTGAGCTGCTACTGTTGCATAATCAAGTCTTAACTGGCCTTGGTCGAAGACCTTCTTAAATTGTTCTTGGACTTACCTGGTATAGGAGAGAACTGTTGCATAAAAAATTGTTTGTTCACTTTTTAATAGGATACGTATACCTTCTTCCAGGGTATGAAAAATCCTTGAAAACAAAAGCTGTTTGAATGGTGTTCAGAAATCAAAAAACGTCTTTCGAAATTTAGATATTTTTGTATAATTTATTACATGTCAAAGGTCTTTCAACCTTTGTTTGCAGTTTGTGCTAATTTTTGCCCTCGTGTCTTGTCATTCGTTATTATTTTGTTCTGACCCTGTATTGCAGACATTAACGAGTGTGACACCACCGTCTGTCTAAATGGAGGTTTATGCATAGACTTGCTGAATGGCTACAGATGTGAATGCCCGGTGTCACACAGTGGAGACAACTGTGAGATAGGTGGGTATAATCAAACCATTGAGAAAACCTGTCAGACACCACTGAATGTTGAATGTATTAGATTTCAAGATGTATTGCAAGCTCAGTGGTCGAGTGGTTAAGACGTCTGCACTAGTAAGCAGGAGGTTGTGGGTTCGAGTCCCGCCCGAGTAAGCTTGTGAATTTTTTCGCAAGCTCTCGGACAAGCACTGAGCATACAGTGTTCATCAGTGTATACATTGGGTAAGGGCAAAACCTGTTATATAAATGTATTAGATTTCTTCATTTGGCTCGAAAGCTTTTCCACTTGGGGGGTCAGGTTTTTCTGGGAGTTCTGTTTGAGGTTCCTTTTCTGTGGTCTTGGTTCGAATCCCACCTATGCTGCCACCTGGATTGGATTTCGGCCCCTATTTGACCCTGTGGGTTTTCCCCCCTCTTATACAACTAAATATTTCTTCATTGTCTTTTTTTAGAAGCCTTGTAGTGCTATGCACGGATGCTCTGTAAAGAATTCTTGGTTTTATAACCGTTAATAGAATGATTGTGATAATATTTGATAACTCAATTAGGATTTTATGGCCATTCATCCGTTGCAAATACTGATTTATATTCCTTTTCTGTGTGTTTTTCCTTTTCAGAACTCAATCCATGCATTTCCAACCCTTGCCAGAACGGAGCAACCTGCAATAATATGTTTACCATCTACACCTGTAGCTGTCCCATTGGATTCACAGGAATACACTGTGAAGTTGGTGAGTCAGTCAAAAGTCAGAAGAGTCAGAAATCTGAGGTCATTTGGAAGCAGGAATTGCAGTGCAAACGATTGAGTAGGCACGCACCTGTTAGTTCATGCACTGGTTCTGGCGCTGATGCCCTTTACACGCGTGTGCATGACGTAGTCACATTCTACTAGTACCACGTGAGAGCTTGTTGAGACAATACATCTGCAGCAGAAGTTTAAAGTGCTAAAGATGGTCGTTTGTTAAGAGTCTTGTTTTTCAATCGCGGAGAATGGAAATAAATTGGAATTTAAAATCCACCCTACAGCGATTTACCCATTTTTCAACTTCATATTTTAAAAAAAAGGAACACGGTTTGAAAGTGGATAGTGGATATTAGCTAGCCAAGGTATTAAAAGTTGACCAGGTAGTTCCCTCATCTTCGCGTCTAAACTAGTTTGCCTACTTTCGGCACCTTTGACAGCTAATGTTGACAATCCACCTGAAATAATTAATGTTATATTTACTGAAGTACTTTCATTTTACTTCCTGAGTGTAGAAAAACACTGGTGGCATCTTTCCATGTACACGTAGGGTCGTGTTTGTACATACAATGTACCCCGTTCAATAGTTCCACAAATGCTCTGGTAAACCGTGGAATTGCCTACTATTCATGCATATTGGCTTGTGCTTGGATCATTGCATATGTGCCCGGAAAATAGCAGAAATATGGGCTCACCCATAATGGTGAATGGACCAGTGAAACGTCCACTCTTCATCATGAATATGCATGAGATATAGTAAAATGCTTCTCAGGTGAGATTCCTTGAGAGTAAACGATTCCTCCTTCATCTATCCTTAATACGCAGACATCAATGAATGTGCCAGCAGTCCGTGTCAGAACAATGCAACATGTGTGGATGAAATTGGCTCCTTCAATTGCACCTGTGCCCCAGGCTGGATGGGCGTAACCTGCAACATAGGTAATCTTTTGTCATCACTTAATTTTCTTGGTACAGATCTGCCTTGAGCAGGGGCACCCTGTCATTTGAAAAAAAGCTATGTCGGTGTGGAGTGTTTATTATGTTGGCAGGGAGGAAACCACACTGCTTGCATTTCAAAGTTGTTCATGAACCAGAAAAGTGTAGTTCCCACCGAAACAGCCTCCATTGCTGGGACAATTGTGCTCTCTCTTGGTCCAGTTTGGGGCTCATACGTGCAGGTTGAAGTGTCCAAAGGGGGCCAGTTGCCTCGCCTTACCTCCTTTGGCTACTTCACCTCCATAACCCAGTTAACCACCTTAGGCTTGGGGGCATTATAAATGCTGGGCTGGAGTATTTTTCGTTTTTTATTGTTTTCAAAATTCTATAAAAATTCATATCTTCATTTACCGGACACTTACACCCACACGAATGACTGTCTGGTGGGTACTTTAAGCTGACAGACAACATCTATTGATGCCGGAGTATTGGGGCCAGGCCTGCTGCCTTGTAAAAAGAGCCCATATTGTTATGTAATTTTCTTTTGTTCCTGAAACTGGCACAGTGCGCTGCTGATGTCTTTTCAATAGGGGCCAGATTAGCATGCAGGGGTATTGTATCACTCATGACTGGAGCATTAGAGTGCTTTTGTCCCTGGTTGTATTCTGCTCGCACTGAATGTCACAGACAGGGGTATACTGTTTCAAAACAATACTGGATTATCTCCGCTATTGACAGTGAAAAATGCTGGTAATTCCCAGCAGCCTGGTCTTTTGTTATGGGTAGGGCCTTTTGTTACAAGGCGCAGTTCCCTTTGTCCGATTTTCGGCACCCCAGCTGTGCATATAAAGAATACGTGTCTGAAACCGGGCTCCCTGGCAGCATGTGGTTAAAAGCAAATTGTTTGTCTTCACAAGCCATAGTTTTAACAATACAACATCAATGCTGCATTTGCTTTATGTATTTGTTACAGAGGTGAACGAGTGTAACAGCTCGCCCTGCAATAACGGAGGCACCTGCTTGGACGTGCTGAATGCCTACAGCTGTATGTGTTCACTCGGATGGCAGGGACCAACTTGTGACATTGGTGAGTTTACGTCCTATCATCCATCACTTTGTACAACCCAGAGCCTTGGCATTTTAACCAGAGATGTAATTGGCATCATGACTTTAACATTTCATCAAATAGATCCGTTGGAGTCGGGGCTAATTTTGGAGCTTCGATAACCTCTGTTTAACGCTGTCACTGTGGAAGTTCTCTGCATTCCCTGTATTAATTCTAAGTTGTGGAATTTATGTGAAGTACACTGACAGCAAACATAGAACTTAGTAGTAGGGTTTTTTCTGATGTTTTGTGGTGACCAGAGCCTTGAAATTAAACCCGGGTTTTAATATTTTATTTCAACTTTGATGTGTTTGTGTATTGTGAGGTTTTAATTTACTGAGAAGACTATTGATGGAATTTCGAAGCAAAAGTCTGTTCAGCACAAATTACACTTGCTCAGCAAGAATTACAAGACAGTCTCACGGGACACTTACAACAGTTGTGGATGCTTCTCAGCAGTAAATGTGCTAAATATATTTTCTGCTTTGAGCAGGCTCTGTTAAAGTAAGTTGGTGCCCACGCGTTTCTATTCCAGGTTCTTAATCCTCATCCTGATTGGCTAAGCGTTGATACCCTAATTCCCTCACACTAATGTCCATATTTAACAGCCAGTCTTGTGTCTGTAATAATGCAGTTTTTGTGGACTAATGATGTAATGCATGTACGTGTATTTATGAAGCAAAGCAGTTTTACACGTGTACTTGGTTCACAAGCCCTCACGTCATTTGTCTTCACAGATGTTATGTGCCTTCAAATATTTCCGTCATCACCTTGCCTCCGTTGATTGTATCGGCCGAGTGACACAGATTGTTAACCTCTTTTTCCCTTTCAGTACAACATTAATTCTAACCTTTTCAGTTTTTGGTGTTTGGAGTCCGTTGATTCACCCATTTGCTGAGTGCAGAGCCTTGGGCAAACAGGAACAGCTCTCAAACAGTGTTGCTGGAATGTGACGGAATTGTTACTTCGTGATGGGCCACATTCATCAAGAGCTGTTAAAGTGACCTTGATTGTGTTAGTCTTCAGACATTTTGTGTGGATAGTGTGAACTCTGGTTGAATTCCTTTGTTTTAACAATGATCTTGCCTCTATTATTTTCCTTGAGTGGATCTATCTTGACGTCTCGTATTGTTTGATATTAATTGAGTGTCTTTTCATTGTTTACTTGTTCATGTTCACAGTTTTGGTGCTTTTTTTTAAGTGTTTGTAAACCTAACATGTTTTGTCTGTCTTTTTTATCCCCGTTAACATTCCATATCTTGGTGTCATTTTAATGCCGTGATCATGTTAATACATTCCATTGTCATCAATCACATTAAATCAAAGGACATCTTGATTCTTGAACAATGTGGTAAGTTCTATTTGTTTTTGAAGCTTTAGAGTTTTTAGTTCTCTTTATAATGATAGCAACATTCTCTTTATTGGTAACTCTGAACAATAGTTATTGTAATGTTAGTTTTGTGGTAGTTAAACTTATCTGTTTTAATTTGAAATGAATCAATGCATCAGATAGAAGTTAGAGCTGCCAATTATGGTCAGTGTTGTATTCGAGTCCATCACAAGTCTTTTCACAAGTCCAGCCACAAGGCTCGTCATAAGTAACAGGGTGATGAACAATGACAAAGGAATGCTTTTTTCATAGCTCATTTGAATACCTTGTGAATTGGCTTAAGACTGAATGACTTATGATGGACTTGCAGGGACTTACAGGGACTTGTGACAGACTCAAATACGTCACTGTTGCTAGCATTTAAGCCCGGTACTAATCATTGTTGTGCAGATTAGTACTTTGATGGAAGGGGACTGTGGATTCAGGAAACCAAAGATGGCAGTTGTCTAAAATGCTTTTCAATAAAACCTAATGTGATAATGTTCTACATTCACACTTTCCAATGAAATGAATGCTTTTTGAGGTACAGTGTATGACGTTGTGGTGTTTAGCCAACAAATCTTCAATTCTGCACCAAGTTTTTCTAAAAGAAAAAGTTTGATCCACCTTATTGGGTTGTTTGAGCAGGTTTCAAGCACTATGCTTCTTTCATTGATGCCATACCAAAACCTGATTAATAACACAACTGTAGAGTACTTGTAGAGATAGTGCTGTTGGTTTATGCTGAGAGCTGAGGTAGATTTTTGTCCAAAGAAAGTTGCACTAGTAAACATAGTTTAGAATTAAGCCCTGTCAATGGCTGATCTAAGGTAGAACCAAGTTTGTTTGGGGGAGGGAGAGGTAAAATTGTTTTTTGGAGTCTAAAACATTTTGGACAATTTTTTGTAGAACCTTTTATGGCCTTTGTTCGAGGTGAAACTACATTTTGGAGCTTTTTACACACTTTTCAGAGGAAGGGAGTTCCTCTTCCCCCCCCCTCGCTGGATCTGCCCCTTAGGCTTGTAGGAATTTTAGGAAAATGTTTACCAGACTTAAACCAGTGTTATAGTCAAGCTTTTACAAGCCCATTATAAAAGTCAATCTCAAGTTATAAGCTAATTCAAGTGATCTGTTATAAAAGGCATTCCTTTGCCACTATCCGTCTTGTTACAGGATGGCCTGACTTCTTTTTTCACTTGTAATAAGCCAGTTGGGTATTTCAAACAGCCAAGGTCTTTCCTGTGAGTCGGCGTACGGCTGGCTGATAGGGCAGATTATTGTGCGCGCATGTAGCCTTGAACTGGGTATGCGCTGTTGGAATATAAACATGGAGGGAACCATGTTGACACTAAAATTTGCTCATAGAATGTTTCTGACAGCTCCCATATCCTTTGGTTTACAGAAATCAATGAGTGTGCCAGCAGTCCTTGCATGAATGGTGCAACCTGTCAGGACAGGATAGGTTTTTATCAATGTCAGTGTGCGCTGGGCTACGGTGGAACACGCTGTGAAATTGGTAGGTATACTTGGCTCCGCTACGTGAACTGATGAAGTATTACATTCCGCTTAACATGTTCATGTGCCGAGCAACAACAGCTGACAGCCAGTCACAAACTGCTCAGATCTTCTAACCTTTTTGGCTGGGAAAGTGTTAATGCTAAGCAAATATGTGCTATTTTACTAAGCAGTGTATGATATACAGTAGCTGTATGTGTTTATGCTGTTTTGGAGATCCCAGCTGAATTGTTGAGGCCATTATTTGGCTTATATGCAGTTAATGGACTTACAAAGTTAAATATTCTCTACTAGCCATATAAAGTTGCTCCATCACCAGATACCAATATCAAATGTGACACAGTGAGTCACCGTAGTAACCTTCAAGTGTACTTTAGCTGGAGATGTTGAAATTTATAGTTGTAATGTGCATATACACTGTACACCACAAAAAAACCACCAGCCAAATTGACCTCTTGTTAGCTAAAACTTGCTTCATGTGACTGAGAAACGTTACTAGTATTGTTGGCGCGGGAGAAATATTGATATGAATTTCATTTATTTATTTACTTTATTAATTACTTTCATCCACTCACATCAACTGAGCCGATGCTGCTTGTCTGCAAAATCTGACATGCTCAGCTAATTTGTGCTCAAAACCAGCAAAACGTGATTTTTAGTGAAGTCTAGCACAATGGAATGTGAAGCTGTCTGTGTCAAACACAGGGGATATTTTAGATGCTTTTCCAGAAATTTTTTATGAAAATGATTTTCCATTCTTTGTCCTTGTAGAGATCAACGAGTGTTTTAGTTCTCCCTGTGTTAATGGAGGGTTGTGCCAGGATCTGATTGGTGCTTTCCGGTGTGACTGTCAAGCAGGTTATGAGGGCGTACGTTGTGAAATAAGTGAGCAATATTTGAAGCTATTAGAAGAGTTACATAGGCCTTAAAGACCGTCTCACATGAAGCTGTAGACGCCAAATAATGGAGCCAGTGTTTGTATAAATCATGGGGTTTTGACACTTTGTGTATGCATTGAAACCGTTGAGTACCAACTTCTGTTTTTCTTTGCTCTTGGTGATCTGAATATGTAGATATTAACGAATGTAGAAGTCAGCCTTGTGCTAACGGAGGAGTCTGCACTGATTTGATCAATGGTTACCAGTGCCAATGTGTTCCTGGCTTCACCGGTACCAACTGTGAAACAGGTGAGTTGGAGTTCATCACTGGCTCACTGAGGACTGTTTGGCATGTCCTGGTCTTCACTGTGAGGATTTAGTAGGCCAATCTGGACCTAGTTGGGACTTATGGATGTCCTCATAGCATTTTCTGTCCCTACAGTAACCTTGGTATAACACATATGTGGTCCTTATAACAATACAAACTGAGAACAAACAACAATTACATCAGAGGACATCAGGTCCAGGGTTTGAAAAATTTCTCTGTTGGAAACTATGTACCAATCAACTGAATGGAGGTAAAAAGGACAGAAAGTCCTCTCATAAAGAAAAGCCTTGCATGGGGGGATGTGTGTTGAACCTCATTCCCAGATTATCTGTTGACTCTCAATATGAATAGACCAAGAAAGATACCATATTTTGTTGACCATTTATGAATTTTTATACTTAATTTAAATCTTAAAGTGTTGTTCCTGTTGTATACAATGTGCGCAAACCCATTCCTTTTCAGATGGTCCCTGTAGTGGAAATTGTCCTGTAAGGATTAATTGTTCAGTTATTAGGTTTTGGTTCCCAATTGTGTCTTGCAGGGGTTTTTGAGTGTATGAGTCAGCCATGCCTTAATGGAGGGGTTTGCATCGACTTGACGAATGCCTACAGTTGCCAATGTGTCCCTGGCTACACTGGTACCCACTGTGAACAGAGTAGGTGTATTCTCTTCAAAAATATTCCACCTGTATATATTTTGTTCATTGATCTCACTTAATCAACCCTGGACGTGGTGATTGTTGAGTTCATTTGCTGTGGTTATGCCGTTCCATTGCAGGTTGGTAACAACCGAGTTGAAAATTTTGATTTTAATTTTTCTTTTTAATTCTGTTATCCAGTCACAGGGAATTTGTTTTGCACAAAGTTTCTCAAGCACGGGGGCAGATTTGAATGTTTTGAAGGAAGTGTTTTTTAACTTACCTCTCACTTGTGTTCTCTCCTTGTTTCATCATAGGTGTTTGGATTTACCGATCTTACCTAACCACACATTGTTCTTTCTCACGAGTCTGTAAATATTTGCCCTCCTAGATGAGAATGACTGTAGGTTTCATTTGTGTCAGAATGGAGCCGCCTGCGTGGACTTGGTCAATAGTTACCGCTGTGCATGCCTTCCAGGTTTTGAGGGCGTCTTCTGTCAAGACTGTAAGAATGAATCGCGGCAGCATCCAATCGTCTGCGTTGGTTTTTGGCATTAGCATTACGGCTTTGCTTTGTCCCATCATCAAAATATCAGATCCATGTGATAAATGTTGCCTTGTTTTGCGTAGCCGTCAAGCTATTAACGACACCAATGTGTTGTTTGTAAGTCCACGTATGTGAGTTTGATGTTGGTAGTTGAATGTTTCCACCCCCCCTGTGGTATGTTCTACATGCTTATGTGAGCTTCCTGAAGATTTTGATGTGGGCCATTGGTGTAGTTTTCTAATGCACTGGAAGAGGGAAGTAAGTTTTAGCAGCAATAGCCTTGTGCGAACGTAGCAAGAAATGGATCTGTGTTACAATGCCAGAGGTGTAGTATTTGTTCTCTTCTGAGTCCTGTAAGCACTGAAATATTGCTTGCTGACTGGAGTGACCCGAACTGAACAGTTTTTAAAATTTGCAGGTCTTGACATTTGTATCCTACCGGATTTTTTTTTATTTATGGCAGTTTTCTGCTGGGATTGATATGTCAGACCTTGAGACATTTCAGCTTGCGTACTTTACCATATGTTCTGAAATAAATCATGCTGTAATTGGGGTGTTCAAAGGGAATATAAAGAATTGGAATTCTTAAGAATGTTCCAATGCGAACATTGCTTGTTCCGACTTGGATCACCTGCTGTTGTAGTCAGAATTGTTTTGGGACTCTGAATAGAAGTCAACTACACCTCTTGAAAAAAGACTAGTTTTTACTGCTGTGTAACCAACTCCTTTATTGAAAATCTGTGTCACAGCTGTGTGTGGGTTGGGAAAATGATGCCTAGTTTTGTTTCAAGCAGAGTTGCAAATATGTTAGAACACCTGTAACCTGGTGCAAACAAAGTAAATGTTGTGCTCAAATCGGATATATGTGAAGTGACTTTGATATTAACTAAATAATAAACGTCCTGTAGTTTTTATTAAGCCTTAGTCAACATTAAAAATATTGTTTTAAAGACTTAACTGTAACATTTTTCTAGTGCTACACTGAAGTGGATTATCTGAAGTCCACCAATCCAGAGCAAAGGACATGCAGGAATGCTTTGGGAAAGACGGCAGTGGAAGTGGATGCTAACTTTTGTGGAATGACTGCTGCTCAGTTAAACTTGCTTAGAAAATGAAACTGTGTGTCATACCAGGCAA